AAAGAGGGCAGCAGTGTGGCAGCAGCAGGTGGAGCCTGGCCCCCATGATAGGTGAGATTGCAAGATGCAGAGTGGCAAGAACTAGTCAGTACACAGCAGTCAACTCCACCATTATTTGATGCATGGGAGGAAATTTCTCTGAACTCCCCCCTCCATCCTCCCTGCAGTGGGCCAAACACCAGTGTCTGAATTCTCGGAACCTGCTGAGTGAGTTACCTTACCTGGTAAAAGGGACTTTGAAGATGTGATTAAGCCAAGGATATTGAGATGGGGGATTATCCTGGTTTATCTGGGTGGGCCCAATATAATCGCATGACTCCTTTATAACATGAGAAGGCAGGAAAGAAAAGGCAATGTGACCATGGAAACAGAGATTGGAGTGGACAAGCCCACAGGCAAGAAATGCAGGCAGTCTCTAGCAGGTAGAAGAAGCAAAGACCTGGCTTCTGCCCCTAGAATCCTCAGAAGGAACCAGATCTGCCAACACTTTGATTTTAGCTCCATAAGACTCATTTTGGACTCCTGACGTCTGAAACTGTAAGAGAATAAATTGGTGTTTTAAGTCACTGCTTATTTGTTACAGCAGTAATAGGAAACTGATACACTGCTCGACTGATGTAGTCACTCCCTCTTCTTTACTGTCTATCCCTGTAGTTTGTTCATACCTTCATTGCTGCACATATCAGACCCTACTGTGTTTATTTGCTGGCCTGTTTATTTCCCCTGCTAGACAGACAGTTGAGGGGAGGGGCCTCAAGAGTCTCAGAGCCTATCAGAGGGCTTAGTTCATACAGCTGCATAAATGTGGGTGAACTGAATGAATGTCTGGATGGATAGGAGTGTTTGTTGCAAACTGTCCTAAATCTGTGACTATTTTACAGGACCTTCTTAAGCTAGTTGGCTTAGCTTAAAAGCATTAAAGATGGTTTCAAAAAGAAAAACCTATACTCTGAATGTATAGCCGTAGAAAAGGATCACTGATCCCTTTGGTAATTCCCTAGCTCTGGTCAACTTAAAGGTCAAAACAGTAACCTTCAACTGGTGGGCTAAGACTATGGAGAAGGATAGGAAGGAGAGAAAACGCATGAAGCTATTTAGAAGAGGAGGATTCAGACCAAATATAATTGAAGCAAGAAGTGATCAGAATATGCAGCAACTGTTATTTTAAGGAAAATAAATTCATGAGATTCAAATTTCAGCATGACAGGAAAAAAGGGATTTTTTTTTTTTTACATTTTCCACAAGATGTTCAGCAAAATGCATCTGTCAAGAAATGGGGGAAAAGGTCACATGGAAGCCAATGGAAAGTCGTGAATGGAATCCATTCTGTCACACGCCATCATCTCAATTAAAATATAACTGGGAGATTGTCATTTGGGCTCATGTCTTTTCAGAATCTTTTATATAGCACATTGACAGGGCTTGTTTATTCGATAGGAGAACCTCTCAAATCTTCCCATTAGGGCTGCAGTCTGAGATAATTAATGTGTGAAATGGTCTATTGACTTTATTTTGACAGGAGCTGTCTCAGATATGTGGGAACTTGATAGTAAACAAAGCGTTGAATCTCCTTCGGATGCCTAGGGTTTGTGTTATTCTAGTGGATAGTGAGAGATCAGGGGCCCTGTCCATGCCACACTGGGGAACGTGGATCTGGAGACTAGGTCCTAGGGAAGGACTTACCTGGGTGAGGTCTCAGTTACAGGCAATGAGCTGGTGGGAGGAACATGTATAGGGAATGTGGCACAGATGACTCCCATCCAGGAGGAAGTGGTGGGTACAGTGGTGAGCTAATGAATCAGCCCTGACTTATTTATAATGGTTGCCAATTTCCTTGATGTAAATACTTCTGCCATGGCTGATTTCAATTGACTAGCAAAATTCCTGAAAATTTAACAACTGGCTTTTCTTAGTGAGTACAAACCAGCTCCAGAATGCCATTGGATGAGTGAATATTGTTTTCTTTTTCAAAATCTTTTCTATTGAGGTAAAAAATAATTTACCATCTTTACCATTTTTAAATATATAGTTCAGTGGTAATAAATACATTTATATTCTCTTTTTCCCCTTCATTCCATCTCCTAACGCCTCCCCTTCCTAGCCTCTGGTAACCACCAATCTAGCTCTATCTTCAACAGATCCACTTTTTTAGCTCCCACATAAGAGTGAGAACATGTGACATTTGTCTTTCTGTGCTTGGCTTATTTCACTTACCATTATGGCCTTGGAGTCTATTCATGTTGCTGCAAATGACAGGATTTCATTCTTTTTTATGGCTGACTAATATTCCATTGTATAACGTACCACATTTTCTTTATCCATTCATCCACTGATGGGCACTTACATTGATTCCATATCTTGGCTATTGTGAATAGTGCTGCAATAAACATAGGAGTGCAGATGTCTCTTTGATACATTGATTTCCTTTCCTTTGAATATATGCCCAGCAATGGGATTTCTGGATCATATGGTGGATCTATTTTTAATTTTTTGAGGAACCTCTGTACTGTTCTCCATGGTGGCTGCACTAATATACATTCCAACCAACAGTGTATGAGGGTTCCCCTTTGTCCACATTCTCACTAGCTGTTATTATCATTTTGATACAAGCCATGTTAACTGGGGTTAGATGATATTGCAGTGTGGTTTTGATTTGCATTTTTCTGATGATTAGTGATGTTGAGCATGTTTTTATATACCTTTCATATACTATTTGTATGTCTTCTTTTGAGAAATGTTTATTCATATCTTTTACCCATTTTTAGTAGAAATGTTTATTTTTTTGCTATTGAGTTGTTTGAGCTTCTTATATATTCTGGTTACTAATCCTTTGTCAGATGGATCATTTATAAATATTTTCTCCCATTATGTGGATTGTCTCTTCACTTTGTTGATTGTTTCCTTTGCTGTGCAGAAGCTTTACAGCTTGATACAAGCCCAATTGTCTGTTTTCACTTTGCTTGCATGTGCTTTTGGGATCTTACACAAGAAATCTTTGCCCAGACCAATGTTCTGGAGTGTTTCCTCAATATTTTCTTCTAGAAGTTTCATAGTTTCAGGTCTTAAATTTAAGTCTTTAATCCATTTTGATTTGATTTTTGGGTGTGGTGAAAGATGGGGGTCTAGTTTCATTCTCCTGCATATAGTTATCCAGTTTTCCCAACACCATTTATTGAATAACTGTCCTTTTCCCATTGCGTGTTCTTGGCACCTTTGTTGAAGATGAGTTGCTTGTAAATACATGGATTTATATCTGAATTCTCTATTCTGTGTCTGTTTTTATGCCTGTACAATGCTGTTTTGGTTACTATATCTTTGTAGTAAATTTTGAAGTCAGGTAGTGTAATGCCTGATGCCTCCAGCTTTGTTCTTTGATATATATATATATATATATTCTTTCTTTTTAGAGACAGTGTCTTTCTCTGTGGTCCAGGCTGGAGTGCAGTAGCAAGATGGTAACTCACTGCATCCTTGAATTCCTGGGCTCAAGTGATCCTCCTGCCTCAGTCTCCCATATAGCTGGGACTACAGGTGTACAACACTATGCTGGGCTATATTTTTTCTTTCTTTCTTTTTTTTTTTTTTTTGAGACAGAGTCTCGCTTTGTTGCCCAGGCTAGAGTGAGTGCCATGACGTCAGCCTAGCTCACAGCAACCTCAAACTCCTGGGCTCAAGCAATCCTCCTGCCTCAGCCTCCCAAGTAGCTGGGACTACAGGCATTCACCACCATGCCCGGCTAATTTTTTGTATATATATTAGTTGGCCAATTAATTTCTTTCTATTTATAGTAGAGACGGGGTCTCGCTCTTGCTCAGGCTGGTTTCGAACTCCTGACCTAGAGCAATCCGCCCGCCTCGGCCTCCCAGAGAGCTAGGATTACAGGCGTGACCCACCTCGCCTGGCCTCATTTTTAAATTTTTTTTAGAGGTGAGGTCTTGGTATGTTGCCCAGGCTGGTCTCAAACTCCAGATCTCAAGTGATCCTCCCACCTCAGCCTCCCAAAGTGCTGAGATTACAGGTGTGAGCCACTGCACCTGGCCCCAGCTTTGTTCTTTTTGCTCAGGATTGCTTTGGCTGCATATATATTTTAGGATTATTTTTTTCTATTGCTGTCATTGATATTTTGATAGAGATTACACTGAATCTGTAAATTGCTTTGGGTAGTATTGCCATTTTAACAATATTAATTCTTCCAACCCATGAGCATAGAATATCTTTCCATTTTTGGTGTGAGTGTATGTTGTTAAAGGCAGGCATTAGGGGGATTTCATGACAAGCCAAAGTCCAAATTGAGAAATTACAGGTATAGACTACAGGCAGGTCGAAAGCCTACATTTGTCTAGGAAACTGACCCACAATTTACCAGTCTTGCAATAACACTCAGGAATGTGCTGTGGTTGTTACCAGTTTCTTGTATCTGGGTATATATGACCAGAGTTTCCAGGGGAGTATATGCTGAGACTGAATAATAATAGTGGTGATCATTTTTTGGTGGTCTACTGTGTGCCAACCATTATATTTACATATTTTGCTTTTAATCCTCAAACTCCTGACCTCAAGTGATCCTCCCACCTCAGCCTCCTAGAGTGCCGGAGTTACAGGCGTGAGCCACCACACCTGGCCTTAACCTTCCAGAGAACCTTGCAAAACAGACGTGTTATTTCCATTTCTTAGATGAAGCGGGTGAGGCAGAGAGGGGCACACCTGTCTGACCGTGTATTGCTAGGGAGCAGCAAATGCTGCAATGGGAATCCAGGTGTTTCTGCTTCCAGAGTTGCTCCCTTCTGCTGCATCCCACTCTTCAAATGAGGTGGGAATGGGGAGGACGAGTAGTGGTGAAGGGTTGGGGAGAAATAGAGTAGGGGGAGAGGTTGGACAAACTAACCCAGCCACTGGATTTTCTTTCCTTAGAGGAGATGTCTTGAGATTGTGTCAAAGGTGGACTGGATTCTAGAGGTTGTCATAATCCCAGAGTTCTAATTCCCTGGGTTTGGCATGGGGGCAGCACAAGAGGCCGTGGCTGAACAGGTGAAGTCAGGCAGCAGCCCAGCTAAAGTTCTGGGCACTGAGTCCATTTGCAGCATAGCCACGGACTCTGCAGATTGGGGTTTAGGGAGCTGGATGCGGCCATAAAGGAGGGGGGCTGGCAAGAGTGAGGCTGAGGGTCAGAAGCACAGCTGGGAAGAGTGGGGTTTGGTGCAGAGTTTTAGGCCAGGAAGGAGCTAGACTGTGGCAGGGGGTTTCAGGTCCATGAGAGTGGGGAGCATGACAGGTCATGGAGACCTGTGGTCCCCTGAGCCGAGGTCACACAATGACCACCATGTGAGGCTTTAGTCACGCAGTCCTCTTTCCTAATTTGTGGAGGCTCCTGTAAGGGAATTGCTACTGAAGCAAAAGAATGATCAGAGCGACACAGATAAACATCCACTCCTGGGGCCTCGAGGAGCTGAGCTGGTAATTTGATAATGCGATTAGCCTCGGGCACTCTCTGCGGTTGATCAGATCGACACCATGTGATCGTCCACAGTCCTTGGGCATCTGGAGTCTGGCGCTCCTTGTGGCTCTGTATGGAGCTGAGACCGAATGCCATTGTCCTGACCTGCAGCACTGCCCCCAGCCCTGCTGGGCAGAGGTGGTGCGTGGGGGTATTGGAAAGATTCTGGAAATCCTGTGTGTGGCCTGGGTGCTCACGGCACAGCTATCGGCCTGTGGACATTCCACTGGTGTTTGAAGAAAGGGACCTTTATACTTAAAAAGACGAGGAGCAGAACTGGAAGGCAGCCACCGAGATATTTAGTTTTAAAGCAAATCATGTTCACTTGATAGTGTGTCATCTGAGAATTCTTTCCAAAACCCTGGTGAACGTGTGTAGGTGTGTGTGCTGTGTGTCCTTCTGTGAAAGGAGAGGGAGAGAATGAGAGGAAGAGAGAGAGAGTATGTGTGCAAGTGAGAGAGGTGAGAGAGAAGTGACATGGGCTTGGCCATGGAAATGGGGAAGGCCAAAGAAAGCAGGAGGAGGAGAAGGTTGGTGAGACAGTGGGGAGAGAGGAAGAAGGGAGGACAATGGATGCGACTGACATAAGAGATGACACAGTGGGAATTCAGGGCAAGGTGTGGTTTCCGAGGAACTGTGGGTTGGCCCTGACTTCCTCCTGTTTCTCAGTAGGGCTGGCTCTGAGAGGGCCCAGCTCCTTAGGGGCCATCAGGAATCCATATCGGGTCTTGACGTCCAGGAAAGTGAAGGGAATGGAGAAGGCTTTTGCACTTGAACATCTTGCTCACAGATAACAGGGCCAAAGGGACATTTGCAAGCTCTGAAGCCTGGTGCGCTTCAGTTACTCTCTGCTAGAGGAACACCACGGGCTTAGCTTAGTGGAAGGCAGTCTCAGGCCAGACAGGAGGGAACAGGACTCCCCCCACACCGTCTGGGCTGCCGCCCCACCGAGACTGCCAGGCCTGCTCCCCAGGGTAGCCGAGGACTCAGGGGTCAGAAGACCCACTGCCAAGTTCAAACAACCGTGCTCTTCTTCCCTGACACACCACACGTAAGTTTGACCTAAACATTTCATTTGTTCTTCTTGTGAGGTGGGGTTAAATGTAAAAATGGAGGATACATATATTTTTATTTAGCTTTTACATTTTTTTTCCTTAAAGTTTAGTTTCAAATTCATTAAGTGAAAAAAAAAAAAAGCTATGCTTAAACCCCCTATTTACATGAAAGAAGACAAATGAAAGATTAAAGAGAAATGATGCTTCAATTTTGCATTAAAACTGAATATCTCAATTCAGAGGAAAACTTGGCAACAAATGAGACATTCAGCCTGGAAATAATCATCTCTTTTAAATCACAGAGAAATGTACCAAGTGCTCACAAAGAGATATAGCTTTCCAAAGAGCCTGCTTCGAAATGTAATCATCTTATGTATTGTCTTGCAGATTGATTAACAGAGGAGAACTTGGTGGCCAATTTACTCTCTGGACATGATACCCACCACTATTCATTCTATTCCTTTCATTTCTCTTAAAATGATAAGCTTTGAAACATCAGATTGTGAATAGGAATTTTCCAATTCATTAGCATTGAGTTCTCATAACTTTATGATAACTTATGATTGGTTTAAAAAGTAATTCACATTCATGGTCAAACAATTTGTAAAACATAAAAAAAAAATGAAAAATAAACTGTCCCTTAAAAGAATGAAAAGTAAAATCCCACATCTTGAGTTAATTATTGTAAAAAATTGAGGTATGTAAACTTCCAGTCTTTCTTCTATAGCTTTTATTTTAAATAAAATGAAAATCATAACATACATTAAGTTCTTGTGTTAGTTTTTTCTTTAGTTAATTTTTAGCATTTTCAACATATTTTTAGAAACATAATTTTTAATGAAGATATCATAAATTGCTACGTAGACCTTCCCCAATTCTTGAACCTTTAGGTTGTTCAGTATTTTGCTATTATAAAAATATTATGATGACTATTTTACACAAAGATCTTTGTGTGAATGTTTATTTTTTTCTTAGACTAAGTTCCTCTCTTTCTTTCTTTCTTTTTTGAGACAGAGCCTCACTCGGCTTTCCTGGCTAGCGTGCCGTGGCATCAGCCTAGCTCACAGCAACCTCAAACTCCTGGGCTTAAACGATCCTCCTGCCTCAGCCTCCCAAGTAGCTGGGACTACAGGCACACACCATCAAGCCCAGATAATTTTTAGTAGAGATGGGGTCTCACTCCTGTTCAGGCTGGTCTTAACTCCTGAGCTCAAGCCATCCTCCCATCTCGGCCTCCCAGAGTGCTAGAATTACAGGTGCGAGCCACCGCACCCAGCCAAAGATAAGTTTCTAGAAGCAGAATTACCAGATCAAATAGCATGAACAGATTTAGGTCTTCTGATGTAGTGAATGTCACTCAAGTTTTTGCAGCATATGGACACATGTAAAATCTGGTGAAATTGGGCTTTTACTAGCTTGAGGGCCCCTCTTTCAATCCGAGTAACTACAGCTCCTTAAGCCTCCTTCCTAGCCCTGGTGCACTTGCCAATGTGTGTGGACACTATGCCTCTATTCAGAAACCCTGTGGCCTCTTGAGTCTGCCTGCTTCTCCTTCCTCATGGAAGATTTCCTCCCAAGGACTCCATATTTCTTCCTAGAAACTTTAACTTCAGGTGGCCCATCTAAGTTTACCAAATATGCCTGAACTTCAGATGAGCACATGGTTTTGGACAGCTCCTAGCTTCCCAGCAAATAAGTGAATTTAAATGGCTGTTTAATGATATCTTTTATGATATCATTAGAGGAGAAGGATGTTGTCTGCCTAGGTTATTCTAATCTCTGGTTCAGCCATCAGGGATCTTCTCTTCTTTACAACGTGTGACTAAATTGTCCTTCAGAAAGTTTGAGTCCAGGCTGAGCGTGGTGGCTCAGGCCTCCTAGCACACTGGGAGGCCAAGGCAGGTGGATCATTTGAGCTCAGGAGTTCAAAGCCAGCCTGAGCAAGAGTGAGACCCCATCTCTACTAAACAAATAGAAAAAAATTAGCTGGACAACTAAAAATATATAGAAAAAAAATTAGCTGGGCATGGTGGTGCATGCCTGTAGTCCCAGCTACTTGGGAGGCTGAGGCAGTAGGATTGCTTGAGCCCAGGAGTTTGAGGTTGCTGTGAGCTAGGCTGATGCCACAGCACTCTGGCCTGGGCAACAGAGTGAGACTCTGTCTCAAAAAAAAAAGAAAAGAAAGTTTGAGTCCATATACATTTTCGATAGAAAATACACACTTCCCTAAACCACCAACAATATTACATATCATTATTAATAAAATGATATCATCTATTTAGAGGGAAAAATAGTAGTATCTAGTTATTTTTATGGGCTTTTGCTTAGTTATCAGTACTTTTTCAAATGTTTACTGTCTGTTTTTCTTCATTTGAGAATTATCCGTTCTTTTGCTTAATTTTTAAAATCTTGAAATAGGCATCTTCTTCTCATTAACTTTTATGTTTTAAGGATGTTAATTAACCATCTGTTCATCAGGTGGGGTACTTTTAGTTGCAACCAACAGAAAACACAAGGGATTTGTAATCTTATAAATATAAAGACCCAAGTAGGGAAGCTCTGGAATTTGTTAATTCAGAGGCCCCATCAGAGATAACTTGTGTCTTTCCACTCTGCCATCCCTGGCGTATGGTGTTGCTCTCAGTCTCATGCCTTCATGGTTTGGAGAGGGTGGCTCATAACTCCAGAAATCACCTCCTTATTACAACAACATCCAGACACTGAAAGAGGCTCTTCTCTTCCTTGAGTCTCTTCAAGTCTCTTCAAGATTTTCCACAAGAAGCCCTTGAATTGACTTCCCTTCAGAGCTCATTGGCCAGAAGGCATCATGTGCCCATGGTGACACCTGTCATGGGCATAGATAGGTAACCATGGCTGTTGAGAAGGGCTGAGATCAGTCATCACTTGACCTGAGTCTCATGGAGAGGAGTAGACACCTAAACAAAACAGGAGTTCTCTAGCAAGGAGAAATGGGGAATGATCTTTTATTTGCTACCAATAGTATCTTCTACACTTTGACTTTGATATATGAAATTCTAGTTTTAAAACAAAATAGGGGTCAGGCACAGTGACTCACACCTATAATCTCAGCACTTTGGGAGGTCAAGGTGGGAGGATTGTTTGAAGCCAGGAGTTCAAGACCAGCCTGGGCAACATAGTGAGATCCCCATCTCTACAAAAAATTTTTTAAAATTAGCTTGGTATGGTGGCACATGCCTGTAATCCCAGCTACTCGGGAGGTTGAGGCAGGAGGATCACTTGAGCCCAGGAGTTTGGGGATGCAGTGAGCTATGATTGTGCCATAGCACTCCAGCCTGAGCGACAGAGCGAGACCCTGTCTCTACAAAAACAAACAAACAAACAAAAAAAACCCAAACAGAAAACACAGTAGCATATCTCAAATCTTTCTCAGAGCGGAGGCCTTGTTTGTCAGGGAAATCTCTTTATTGCTAATACACAGTCCTTAGTAGAGGTTCCTATGCCTCACTGGAGGTCAAGTTCATTGCTCAGCTGCGTTACAGTGGGCCCTCTGCATGATTCAGAAGTTTAATAGTCAGAAGAGTTAAAATCAATGAGTCTGAAAATATTTTCTTCAAGCAACTGCTTAGAGTTCCTCAAGGACTCGGACATTTTCCTGCGGGGAGCATGATGTACACATCTAATGCTCATCTGGACCAATTCAGACATGCATTACCTTCCTGCACTCACTCGGCAGGGGTGTGAATTTCCTATTGCTGCTAAAACACACTACGTAAGCATAGTTGCTTCAAACAGCAGAAATGTGTCATCTTATCATTCAGGAGGTCAGAAATTCACTTAAAATGGCCCTCCCTGGGCTAAAGTCAAGCTATCCACTGGGCTGCGATCCTTCTGGAGGCTCTAGGAGACAGTGTGTTTCCTTTTCTCTCCCAGCTTCTGGAGGCTGCCCACACTCCTCAGCTCACGCCCCCTTCCTCCATCTTCAAAACCAACCAAGTTATTGACCACATCTCGTCTCTCTGACCTTCTCTTCTGCTTCCCTCTTGCACTTTTAAAGGCCGTGATTACCTTGGGTCCACCCAGATAATCCAGGCCAATGTCCCTGTCTCAGGGCCACCTGATTAGCAGTCTTAGTGCCATCTGCAGCCTGACTTCCCCTTCTCCGTCCTAACGTAGTCACAGGTTCGGGGGATTAGACTGTGGAAATCTTTAGGGAAGGGGGGAATATTTTTCTGTCTACCATAGCAGGAAGGAAAAACAAATTCCCCTTTCCTTCTCTGTAATCTTTATTTAATGTTACTGTGGTAGATTATTTAGAACACGTCTGGCCTCAAATAGTACTGCTTTGGTTTTCTAAAGGTCATTTCATTATTCTCCCTCTGGGCCCATAAGGGCTCTGCCTCTGGCTTTTCATAGAAGACACAACATTTGGAATCAGATCAGAGAGCACAAGCAACTCTTCTTCCAGGCTTTCTACGCCTTTCTGCTCCTAAGCACGGATATTTCTATCTGGGAGCCCGTAATAGATTCATCATTCCACTGTGCTTCTATTTAGGAGTTGGCTATATGTATCCATGCCTCTTTTGTATGCTCTCTTGTCAGGATAAATCCATCTTGGAACCGAGAGTCACTTGTTCCCCTCCGACTCCCTTTCTCCTGAGTCCACAGAAGCCACATGCTGGGATGAAATTAGCTCAGCTCTGGGCTCTGATAGGTCAAACGAGCTGTCCGTTATATTCCAAATTGCCTCAGGTTGTTTCAACAGGTAAGAAGCAATTTCCTTTCACTGCCCCCACCCGCCACTGCCACTGTCTTCCTGATCTCATTTGTTACATAACTTGCTTTCTTACTGTTCTGTAACCAGAGCTCATCACAATGGGACATAGAACACTTACCTGAGCAACACCAGGGCAGGCAAGAGCTCCTACAGAAACTGAAGACAGAAGGAACTTGTGCATGGTCTGCCTCCCACACAAAGACGTTGCACGTGTGGATTATTGGCCGTCCAGTAAATGTACTTAAAGACGGAAGTTATTTCCATTGACTGGTTCGGTATGAGCAGTTAGGTCCCAGTGACCTAAAAATGTCCAAATGGAATACTCAGCGAACTCTCTGACCTCATATCTCAGTCTAACAGTTCTGCATCTCTACGTGGATCTCTCTTTAACCAAATGCAGATCCCTTTGAGACCGAAAGTGTCACAGGGAGCCCTACAGCCCTCTGTCCGCGTGTGAAACATTACTCAGTATCAAATTGAAAAGAATCAACTTGGTTGCTTCATGCTGATTTCATTTTCTTTACAAACCTGTCTGGAATCCTTGCAGCATAATCCGTTTGGACTTTTATAGAACCCAGGAATGGCAGGGGTGAGCATCGGGTCACCCTTGGACACAGCTGAACAGTCAGTTACTGACTTCTGAAGGTGCTATGCTTGGCTGCTTGGGGCCTGTCTCAGTCAGTTTGGGCTGATATAGCGAAATACTATGTACTGCGTGGATTATAAACAACAGGCATTTATTTCTCCCAGTTCTGCAGACTGGGAGTCTGAGATCAGGGTGCGTGGGTGGTCAAGTTCTGGTGAAGGCTCTTCTGGATTGCTAACTACTGCCTTCTCGTATCCCCATGCAAACGAGAGCAGAAAGGGGAAGAAATCTCTTTCATGACTCCTACAAAGGCACTAATCCCATTCATGAGGGCTCCACTGGTACGGCCTCATCTAATCCTAATCACTTCCCAAAGGCCCCACTTCCTAATACTCATCCCATGGTGGGGGTAGTATTTCAACATATGAATTTTGGGGGGGCATAGACAGTCCATAACAGGGTCTATATATATATTTTTAAAATTGAATCCAACAAACAGGTTTTTTTGGTAAGCATTTCTGCTTCCTAAACCAACCACTTCCTGGTTTTCATGAAATGCCAGGCCTCTGGGATTTCTTCCTAGAGAAACACGAGGGAAGGCACCTGGGGTTCCTTATATGACAGACAAACAGCCCAAACAAGGCCTTGAGAAGAAATGACTAGAAGGAACAGGGGTGCCTCCCTTCCTTCCTGCCTGTCACACCCGGGCATGGTGCTCCAGCTCTGCGCTGTCAGTCAACGCTGTTACCAGGAATTATTTTCTTATCATTTATGTTCCCCTCTTCCCATCATGTCATTTCTTAGAGTCCTATAATTACACAGTGTGTGCCTCCATCCCGGCTGTCACTGGGCTCTTCTGAGTGAAACATAGCTAAGCACATTTCTGTAATGAGGAAGGACTGTAATCAAAGGTGGGTCCTTACCCATCTCTCCCATGACTCTGGTCTGCCTCGCTTTCCCTAGACTGCTTGCTTATTCATTGCAATGATAATATTACTTCCTTCTATATAACTTCATTCCAGCAGGGCGAGACTCTCACCTTGCATTTCAAATGAAGCCCCTAGGTTGTTTTGGTGACAAGGATTAACAGTGTACTGCCAACAATGAGGTGTTTAGTCTAAAGAGACCTGTGCTCAGAAGCCCACCCGCTAGGAAGGGGGCAGGGAGCTTTCTATTAAAGTGGCTCAGGGAACCTCAGCAGGAGACTTGGTGGCTCTTGGCCACACCAGGCTCCTCTCTGATCTGTTTCTCTTCCAACTGCCTCATTTTTCCCATCTCCTCTCTGTGTTATGCTTTTTATTCCTGGTCTCTGTTTCTCTTTGGTTCCTGCTCCTTCATAATTTTGCCCTGAAAATGGTGCACCATGGTCTCTACTCCACCCTAGAACATTCCTTCAGCTTCAGGTCACCCTGTTATCCACTCCAGTCTCTCAGTGTGTCTCAGCTCCTGTCCCTGAGTGGGGACATGACTGAGCCAGCCCAATGTACTGGGTCACGGCTGGGGTCCTAGCTAGACTATCAGGGGACTCTCCCTAGAACACGTGCCTCCCCTAGTCCAGCCAGCCATGGCCAGGGGTCCGAGTGATGGCTGCCCATTGGTAGTGAGAGCTGTTTCATTACGAGGGCGTGGCGGATGGACAGCTGACAGTTATTGCAGTCCATCAAGGGCATGACCAATGGGCCTAGGAAGTTGATTTTCTTTCTGAACTAAGAGTGCCCAGACATCTTTGTATAGAATCTGTCCCTGATAAATAGTAAAGCACCTTGGAAGGCATCCAGTATAGTCACCCGCCTCCTTCCCCACTACCTTGGTGACACTCCAAGCAAGAATGGCTATCCATTTTCTGTCCCCAGGGAGTTTGGTCAGTGACACACCGGCCAAGTTAAAAGGGTCAGCACCAAGGAATTAAACAAAGCCAATGACTAATAACTTTTAAGTCCCTACTATGTGCCAGGCACTGTTTTAGACACTTGGGCTATAGCTGTGAACAAAACAGCTCTCTCATGGAGTTGACATTCTAAGAAGACATATGATAATATGAGAGAAAGACGTATGATAATCAAAATCTTCCGGGGGAGGCTGGACACTTGTTAAATACCCAGCCTCAGGCACTGGGAGGAAATGTGGACAAGCACATGAAGTGTCAGAAGAGCCAAGTAGCAGCTCCTGGGCAGGAGTCCAGCCTGGGCAGGGGAGGGGGATGACAAGGAGAGCTGGAGCTAGGTGCTGGGGCAGGTGTCAGAGGGCGGGGAGGTGCTATCATGTCACAGGGAGGGCATCATTTTCACAGGCATTGTGGAGGAGATCAAGACAGCTGGTGGGCTATGACGAAGGGCCTTGGCAGTGAGGATTAAGGTTCCGAAATGAAGTGTCGGTCTTTTGAGAACCGGCTGTAGGACTGAGAAGTTTGTAAAGCTTGGGTATGTGAGGACAGTCCAGAACCTGGGATATAATTTGGGGGCATGGTTGCTGAGGAGTAAGACAAGAGCCCAACTTTGGGCCAGAGTGGAACCAGCAGCAAGACCCATTTAGCAGAGGGTTCTGAGCTCCTGAGTTCGGGCCTGCTCAATCCCTGCTCAGAGTCAGGGGTGGGGCAGAACTTGGAAACAGACTGACCAGGCCCGTAGGCCTGAGTGGCCCCAGCTGGACTACATAGGGCAGAATCTAGACAGGTCCTTACAATTGGGTCTGATGCTTGGGTGTCACTTCCCTTGTGTGACCCAAGACCTGCCTTGTGTTACTAGTCCAGACTACTAGGGCCACAAACAGGAAGTCTAAATCTTCTTCCATACAGCAGCCTTCCAATTATTTAAAGACTCCTATCATAGTGCTCTGGGCAATGATTTTTTCAAACTTCATTACTATGAGGACTCCCACTGCCCACCACTCTTCCATGTGAATCTTATGCCACAGCCCAATGTATAAAACAGTTAAAAGCAGAACCTCTCCTTTTGCAGCTGGGTGAGGGGCCTGTTGTCCCACCCACTGCCTCTCTGCTCCGTATTTTCCTGCAGCCCCTTAGGCACCCCTGAGAAATAATCAATGCGGTTTGATAATTTCCCACTCCCTGAGATGTCTCTTTTTAAAGCTAACTACCTCTAGTTCTCTCCATGACTCCTTAATGCACTTGTAAGCTTCTAGAACCTTCCCCAATCTAGTTACCCTTTCCCAGGTGAACTGTGTGCTCAGTGACTAGAAGAGACCTTCTCTGGTCTGGACTCCTGGAGGCACCCTGGGTGTCTTTCTGCCACGTGTACATATCCACCCACCATCTACGTTTCTATTCATTAGTTCATTCCATAAACACCTATTGAGTCTCAACTATGAGGATCAATATTAAGCCCTCTATATAGGCCTGTGGATGAAGGGACAAATGAAATATGGTCTTTATCTTGAAGGGCTTTGGGGAAGGTGGGAGGGAGGTCTACTTGGCTTCGGTTTGTTAGCTATCTGCGAGGGTGCAGGAGAAGAGATAGTAATTCTCCCTGGGGGTTGGAGGGGACCTCCACCCCACCAATTGGTGCATTCTAGTCCCTGCGAGACCTGGGGTAAATCACATACCTCATTCCTATCTGCATTTTTTCTTATTCGATAGAACTGTGGCACAGGTGTGGGCCCTGGGGCTCTCTCTGTAATAGAAATTAACAAGAGGAAGGGGAGTCACAGGAACGGCTTTATTGGGACTTATGCTCAAGCACAGGGGAGACAGCACAAAGGAAAAGTCCTCGGGCTCCCTGGGGTCAGGGAGAGTTTTAAAGAGGCTTAGGTGGGAAAAGGGGAAGTGTAAGCATGCAGAGGTGGAGATTTTCTTGCACCTATGTAGATGTGCTTCTTCTCATTAGCATATAAAGTCTCCACACCTGAGTGTGATTTTCAGTATTATAATAAGGAAAAAGTCAGGATGAGGTCAGTATGGGGGTCTATTCTGGCTTGAGGCGGTTAGGTCTGGTTTCTCTGCAACCAGGTGTCTTATCAGTTTACATCCGTATCTGTTCCAGTGGCCCTGAAAAATATTACAAGACAAATGGTTTAGCCCTTTCCTTATATAGGTATGGGCTGAATTCTGGCAATTAGGAAACTATTTGCCTTAGCTCTCCTGTAGCTCATTAGGCCTGGGTATGTGGACTTCCATGGTCAGGGGTGAGGAGCCCTAGTCCTGTCCCTACGCTGTCTCAGTTGGGCGCAAATATTCCCCAGGTCCCTCCATATTCCTTCCCAGGTTCCAATTGTGCTCTTCCACAGTTTCCCTAAATTGCAGTAGTTTCCAATTGGAGAACATTAACTCTGGTTCTCCTAGCAGCCCCAATTTCAATCTTAATCTTCCATCTTTCTAATACAGTATGTAGTCTTCCAAGATAAAGTTGAGTATTGGGCTCCTTAAATAGAGAGAAAATGAGAAGAAAACATACATAAAGAACTGTCAGGGCGAACATGCATAATACTATAATAACAGATATACTATCGTTACACTATTCCCTATGCCATAAAGCTCCCTTGTGCATGCCCTTTTACATATGTTGGATTTAAGGGTTTTGAGAAGAGGCAAAAGGAAGATTCTACTATGCTTTGAGCTCTCACAGTGTTCCTTTTTCTTATGTCTTTGTCTCTTAAGGCTTTTCATTCTTTTTTTTTTTTTATTTTATTTTTTATTTCTTTATTTCTCACCCAAACCACTCCAGGAAGAAAGGCTTTTCATTCTTATCCTTCTTAAAGGTTATTGTGACCTTCAGATAACAACTGCAGATTGAATCAAAGATATCTTTCACTCCCTTTTTCACTATTTTTTTTTTTTTTTTTGAGACAGAATCTCGCTTTGTTGCACAGGCTAGAGTGAGTGCCGTAGCATCAGCCTAGCTCACAGCAACCTCAAACTCCTGGGCTCAAGCAATCCTCCTGCCTCAGCCTCCCGAGTAGCTG